TGTCCCTCTGGCTCCTAGGCTCTGCAGCTCCAATTGGCTGGGACCCGCCACAGCAGGGTCAGTGCCTGTGGGCGAGGGCAGCGCACAGAGATGCCTGGGAGCCATAGGGAGCTGCTGGCTGCCTAGGAGCCGCCTGCGGTAAGTGCCACCCAGAGCCCGCACCCTGACCCTCTACCCCAGCCGTGAGCCCCCTCCCTCACCCGAATTCCCTCCCGGAACTTGCACCCCACACTCCCTCCCGCACCCCAAAACCCTGCCCCAGCCCTGAGCCCTCTCCCGCACTGTGAACCCTCCTGCCCCAGCCCGGAGCCCCCTTCCACACCCTGAACCCCTCATTTCTGGCCCCACCCCAAAGCCTGCACCCCCAGCCCAGAGCCCATACCCCCTCCTACATCCCAACCCCAGCCCTGAGCCTCTCCTGCACTCTGAACCCCTTGGCCCCAGCCGGAGTCCCCTCCCGCACCCCCAAACCCCTCATCCCCAGCCCCATCCCAGAGCCCACAACCCCAGCTGGAGCCCTCACTCCCCCCCACACCTCAATCCTCTGCCCCAGCCCTGAGTCCCCTCCCACATCCCAAACCCCTCATCCCGGAGGGAGGGGGGATGGAGTGAGTGGGGGGCGAGGCCTCAGAGAAGGGGCAGATCAGGGGCGGGGCCTCTGGAAAGGGGTGGGGAAGGGGGCAAGGCAAGGGTGTTCAGCTTTCTGTAATCAGAAAGTTGGCAACCCTACTACCCAATCCAATCCACCCCTTCTCAAACTGGGCCTCTCCCCCATACACTCTGGCCACCCCACAGAGGGGCATTGTGTATCTTAACTATTTATTCTCTGGATTTCAGATGCTTAAATTTGTGTTACTTCAGTCCCCCCACTTCAGATCCCAGAACACACAGTGGGCAGGGAGAGTGGCTCAGATCCCTGCAAAGGGGTAGGGTTCTCCCCCCAGATCCCAGCTCTCACACACAAGGGGTGAATTCAGGGCTGACAGGCCCCACCACCCCTTAACCCTCAAATTCCTCTGCTATCCCTCATATTCCAACCCTGCCTATCCTCTTCCCTCCACTTCTTCTAAGCCCTACCCTGTCCCCCTTGCCTGAGCCTCCCAAATTCCTCTTCCATCCCCTACCAACCATTCCCATTTATCCCCCTCCCCATAATACTCCTTTCCATTGCTGCAGACCCAAAGTCCTCTTCCCCAATACCACCTCTTGCATCCCTAATACCTCTCCTCTCCTAGTGTAATTTATTTCCTTTTCAAAAACAATGAGGAGTCCGGTGGCACCTTAAAGACTAACAGATTTATTCGGGCATAAGCTTTCGCGGATAAAAAACCCCACTGAACTCCTCGTTGTTTTTGTGGCTACAGACTTACACAGCTACCCCTCTGATACTTTTCAAAAACAGTTTCAGCACTTTGCAAATATTCTGCTGTACTCTGATTACATTTCACAAACACACGCCACACACACCCCTGGACAGAACCAAATTTTTCCCACATGTTTACAGTTCATTTTTAGATTTTTGCCCAGGGTGGATTTCAGACTTCAAAGTTGCAAGCTCAGAGAGGTGTTAAGTGGCCCATTCATTCCAATGAAATGTTCTCAGCTGAAAGAGAACACCCCATGGAGATGAATACATCCTGAAACAATAGCTCCGAGACCTGTGAACTGCTCCATTCATGCCAGTGGGTGTTCTCTCCCCATCCCCAGTGTTGAAGAGTTTCTTACATGTCAATCCTACCTGTTCTCAGCTTCTCACCCAGTCTCAGCAGAGTGTTCTCTGTGCCTGCTTTCACCATGTCTGTTCCAAGCTTCCCACCCAAAGGGGCAAGGCTTCCCCAGAAGTGATGCTCAGGAACTCCCAGAAAGGCAAGATCCCTCCAGTACCTGGCTCACATGGGGCCAGAACCCTCAGATACTGGCGCACACATGGGGACAGCACAGGAAGCATTCAATAAATCAGATGTGTTTGTTCCTCCTCTCTATGATTTTGACATACTTTTGACACCTAGTTTTTGAAACCAGAAATGTTGTTCTTTACCAACAGCTATCATAAAAAAGAGAAATTACCCAATACCAAAAGCAAATAACTACTTGTAAAAGAAATGCCACAACTGTGACAATATCAACAGTAGAGGTTAACCTCTAACCTAAGGCATGATGGTTAGGGATTAGATTAGCTATTACAATTGTTCTGAAAGATTATTGGCTTGGTATGAGAAACTGGTAACATCATACCACTGGAATCTGATTCTCATCTTAATTTACATGTGTTTTGCACCAGAGTAAATGACTTCAAGAGAGTTACTCCTGATTTATACCAGTGTAAGAGGAGAATCAGGCCATGTGAGTCTAGAAAACAAACACTCAATTTACATAATGAAAGCTTCCATTTGCAAACGAAATCTGAGGAAAATTAAAAGAAGCTGTTCACTGTATCCAACCATTTATTTTTCTGGAACGTGGTGAAGAGCAGAAAGACACACAAGAACATAAAGCCACCTCAATTATCAATCTCATTGCTGTATTACAACAGGCAATTTATATTATTTAGTATAACATATATAAACGTATTGCCTCATCTGTATCATGGAAAACCAAGTTTCTGAAAATTATTGACCAAATAACAAAGTATCCCCTTCCTTAGTTATTAAAGTCTGATTGCCCAGTCCTTACCCACAACCCAACCAGCTCAGCACCTTCCCTTTGCAGGGGAAAAAGTGCCACAGAGATGGCTGCCAACACTTCCTCATCGGATGGGTACACCCAACAAATATGGGTCCTTTCTACATGTGGATCCCAGGGAGACACTCAAGCCACCTCCCCTCGATCCCTCAGAAAAAGGAGAAGAGAAACTAGAGTTGTTTTCTATGGAAAGCCAGGAGACTAACTTTCTGCCTCTAGACAATAAATGTTCTCATTTTGAAAGTTTCAATGGCTTGATCCAAAGTTCCCTTAAGTGAATGGAAAGACTCCCATTAACTTCAATAGGCTTTGAATCAGGCAGTAAGAGGGGAACCCAGGGAAGCCTCTATCTCTTAAGGGAACAAATGTTTCAAGGCTATTTGAGCTAGTGTCAGATACTGTAAAAAAGAACAAGGGGTTTTGAGAAAGAGATAAGAAACTGCTAAGCATGAGCATAAATTATATTCAATTTCTCCTGAGTAGTTAATGTACGGAATTATTGAGGGTATAAATTGATTTAAACACTGCATTGTGAGAGTTTGGGGACAATATCATTTGAAGACTTCACAAAATGCTCCGAGATCAGCAGTATACCTTTGAACTGATAATTAAAAATAAAGCCAACAAAAACTCAGACCATGCCAAGGTGCAATATTATAGTATGCCTGAGATTTTGGAGCAAGAAATTATCAATTGCAAACTTCCCTGGAGCTACTGGAGGTGAATCTGGCCCAGAATGTATGTTTATTTTATTATGAATAAAACCCATACTATTGAACAGACAAACAGGCAGACAACCACAGAATATCCTGCCACGTGACAAAATGTACTAATCAAATCAGTGGTTCTCAACCTATTTATCATTGTGGGCCGCATATGCAGCTCTCTTTGTGTTATGTGGGTTGCATCCACACTATATACTACTGTATGGCCTAAGGATGTCACATGGGCTGCAGCTGTGTGCTGATTGGGCCACAAGTGGCCCATGGGCTGCGGGTTGAGAACCACTGAACCAAATGAAGTATTCTGTCTTCCCAGACTCTGCCACCTGCTTGCAACAATTTTTGTTGTTACATGATTGCAAACAATACCTTACCTGTACTGACTGGTTGTTTCTGTGTAACTTTGCACCAGGTGCCAGGATCTCAATTCTAAACCAGATGCCTTGTTGTGCCATTCAGGAGGTACAATGAGCTGGATTCTGGCCATACCTGGCCAGCTGAGAGTCCCATTGTTGGGGGGGGCAAGGAGAGAGTCAGCTGGCAGAGCTGGCTCCTGCATCAGATGCTCCAACTGATCCCATTATAGGAGCCATGGCAGGGGCAGGGAAGGTTGAAGGGAGGGAGCAGAACTCCATTAGGATGCTCTAACTCGTGCCAGCTACGAATAAAGCTGTAACTGGTTCCCTGATACTCATCCCCCTTCTGTACTGAGCATAGCCCAGACACAGGAGAGCTTCAAGCCCCATGTGTCTTGGAATTTTCTTTTTTCATCTAAAATAAAAAGTTAAATACAAAACAAAAATAACTACCTCCTGCTGTGCCTCCCCCATGATTATTTACCAACTTCCAGCATCTGTCCTTTTGTTGTGCTTAAAAATGAGCCTGACCCAAACTCCAGACCTGCACACTTCTGAACTTTTGGGAAATTCATATTTCAGATGGGATTTTTGCAGCCCATCTCTAGTCACTTTTCATAAAAATTAAATTCCTGTTTTAACAGATAAAATCTTAACCCTTAATCCAGAATGAATCACTTTTCTTGCAGAACAGAACTAACGTAAAGAGACCCTGTCAAGGAGGAAAGCAGAAATCTTGTCAGCTTCAGTACTTTACCTGCTCACAATATTAGAGCAAGCAAGGAGAGAGGGGCTAAAGCTGTATCCATCCACGCACTGCAGCAAACCTAGTGGTCTGAGGTTGGTGATGGTGGGTCACTCAAGAGTAAGAGCCAGGTTTTTAACAGTGCTCCCTGTTTGTCCACCAATATTATGTTTTGTCAACAGAAATGTGAATAGCATTATATAGCATGGTGTACAAGTTAATTCATTTTCTAGAGAACATAACCACCGCATTATTGGAAAATGACAATAAAACTCTAGATATCATGATGTAAAGGAAACTCAGCTACTTATTAACATAGAGACAAGAAAAATAAAAGAGCCCTTTTCATTTCAGCTACAATGCCTTTAAAATTCTGTCCAAAACGTCATAAAATAAAACAAGGGCTTTATATATATGCTGTCCTGCGGACCTTTAGATATGTGATAGTCTATATAGTTTTAAGAAATGCATAACACATTAGGTTTTAATACCTACCTGGTAAAAATAATTCTTCTTGCATTTCTGCTCTGGCTTGTTCAGAAAAGCACCTTTTCTTCAGCCATTCAGCCTCAAATTCACTGGTGTGTTTGTCTGGCCACGTAATATACACCTTATATCATAAAATAAAAAAAGATAATTAACAATGAGAGATTCAATGAAATCTGCCCGCCTGAAACAACTACCCAAGGGACCAGCAAAATTCAATCTCCTTACTAGAAATGTAATTGAAATTACTTGCTACTTTGCAATTAAATGTCTCTTGTGGGCAACCTCTCCTTATTAATATAACTGCAAACACTTTCAAAAGTCCATTTAAGCATTACCTACATTCCCTCCTTTTACAGGAGGTCAGTTTCACAATGAAGAAGTGACAGGACTTGCTGACTGGTGCTGGATGCTTTCAATTCTTTATCCCTGCTGCACTTAGCAGTGGTATGTTCTGTATGGGTCCCAGTAAGGGAAAGCGGGACATGAATAGATCATGGAGGGCAGCACTTCACTGCAGGGAGTGACAAGGAGGAAAAGGGTGGAGGAAGTGACAATAGTTTGTGAGTGAAGGGGATGACCACTTGGAAGGACTGAAGGAGACAGACAAGAGAGGAGTGGAAAGGAATACCTTTAAAAGCTATTTCTATTAGTTATGAATTAGTGTCCCCCTGTGCTAGGTGCTGTACAGAGGTAGACACAAGCTCTTCTCTAAAGAGTTTACAATTAGGCGTTTACCTTGTATTCAGACAATTCAGAGAGACAATGCATGCTAATGGACAGAGTATGGGACTGGAAGCCAGGAACTCCTGAGTATTAATCCTGGCTCTGCCACCCACTCACTGTGTGGCCTTGAGCAAATCACATCAACTCTGCATCGGAGCTTCATCAACTGCAAAATGGGGATAACAATCCTTATTTCCCTCCAACGTTTGTAAAGCATGTTGAAGATACCAGTGCTAAGGAGTATTATTAATGATAAAATAAATAAAGGGAATGGAGTTTGCATATCTGTTTTATAACCTTTGCAATTTGCCAGGCAAGAAGATAAAGGGTCAAGTCCTGCCCTTAGTTACACCCATGCAACCTCATTGATTTCACTGGGATTCCACAGTGGAGACTGAGGGCAGATCTGATCCAAAGGAGGGTTCTGTCCCCAAATTTTACTTTATACCAGGGGTAGGCAACCTGCAGCACGCAGGTTTCAGTGGCACTCACACTGCCCGGGTCCTGACCACCGGTCCGGGGGGCTCTGCATTTTAATTTAATTTTAAATGAAGCTGCTTAAACATTTTAAAAACCGTATTTACTTTACATACAACGATAGTTAGTTATATATTATAGACTTATAGAAAGAGACCTTCTAAAAACGTTAAAATGTATTACTGGCATGTGAAACCTTAAATTAGAGAGAATAAATGAAGACTCGGCATACCACTTCTGAAAGGTTTCCGACCCCTGCTGTATACATTTGTAAATGTCAGGTCAAATACATTTTTAAAATACTCTTTTAAAAAATGAATTAGAAACTATTTATTAGATCAAGTAAAGAATTTCATAGAATCATAGAATATCAGGGTTGGAAGGGACCTCAGGAGGTCATCTAGTCCAACCCCCTGCTCAAAGCAGGACCAATCCCCAACTAAATCATCCCAGCCAGGGCTTCGTTAAGCCTGACCTTAAAAATCTTTAAGGAAGGAGATTCCACCACCTGGCCTTTCCCTGCCCTGGCCTTTAAGGACTCCATGCTTTACTGTGACAACACAAGCAGAAGTTTCCTGCAAGAAGAAAGACAGTGTACCAGCTACGAGACAGACACTTTCTTTGTGGGGAAATCATACTATACTTCCTCCATAAAGTAGCCACGGTGGAAAAGGCGGGCTCTAGGGTATGGAGATAGACACACAGGGGGAGCGAAGTTTGAGGGAGTGAAAGACTGAAGTATTAAGAGTCTGCAATTTTATCTTCACACCAGCTCCTAGAGATTAAAAAGTGAAGGCTACTGTAAAAATGTTTTATCTATCTAAAGTTAATTAAGAAAAAAATAAATAAGAACATTTTGGGGGTTCCTATACTTAATTTTACTGTAAGAATGACATAAAATGAAAGGATTTGGATTTCTCAAGTGACAGTTATACCTAGAAATCCTGCAAATACACAATATGATTTGTGGATCCATGATTACGGCATATCCTGATACTCAAGCTGCAGTACTATTCTCTCTATTCGGGTTGCTAATGAACAGATTAGCAAGAATTATTACACAAATGTCACATGAAAGCAAAATTTCTTTTAAAAAATACCTTTTGTCTATCTGTCAAAGTGACCTCCTTCACCCCAATGTTAACATCCAGGTCTTCCAAAAGCAGTTTGCGTGCTTTAGCAGAATGCAGGAAGCAGTCAGGGCATTGGCAGTTGTCTCTTAGCCATACAGCAGGGTAAAGGCTCTTACTCCCATCTTCCCAGTGAATACGGACAAAATTATTCACGTCCAAAGCTTCCACTTTCTGGATACTCGTACTCACGTTGAAAGGCTGAACTGCTCCAGCTGTATGTTGCCAACAATTCCTAGAGGAAGGCGGTCTTGTAAGAATACTCCTGCCCTTTTGCACTAGCAGTAGAGTGTGTGAATAGTCTTGGTGGACTTTAGTCCTTAATAGGATTTTAGCCACAGCATTCCACATTTTGACGACTGTTACAAAATCTTCAGAGCAAGAATAGCTTTTTACCAGTGCAAGTTCCTCCGAGTACTATAAATAAGAACAAAATTAATTATAGAAAGAATAGAAATAAAAAGATAATGTACAAAAAAAATGCTAATTTCCCCTTCTCTTTCTTCCTTTCCCCTGAACTCCTGGGAATACATGTTCTCCATAGTTTAGAAGTTTTGCCCAAAGACAAATGTATATTTAAGCCTAAATTTTCTACTGTGACTAGTGAATTTGGGTGGTGCCTCAACTTCTCCTCAACTTGATATACCTTATTGGGGCCTGATTTTCAGTGAGCTGAAAACTTTCTGAAAATCAGGCTCTAAAATTGGGCACCCAAAACTTGAGGTACTCAAAAATCACTAGTTGCTTTAGAAAATGTAGGCTTTAATGTACGGTATCCTATCTCAACTCATATAGTTAATGATGGTATCAGTTAGAAGATTGAACTATCCCCCTGCAAGGGAAGGATATAGTCTGTGGACACAAGATGCATCAGATATTAAACTAAGAACAGAACCTGTGACTGAATATTTACCTTATTCATAAAAATGGTTGCTTCTCTCCCTAGATTAATAAATGAATCCCAGGTCTTTTTTAATAGAACTTCGCACCACTTCAAAACTTTTGTGTTTGTTTCTGGTTTGTCCAGTTTTTTGTGTGTGTTTTTTTTTTTAATGCCAGCGGGCAAATCTTGATATCCTTGCTCAGAATCCTGGCCCCATTAAAGTTAATGGCAAACTGGCATTGATTTCAATGGGGCTAAGGCTTCACCCTCAGTCTTTACGCAGGAGACGTTCCCATGCGTTCAATAGGTGTTCTGCCTGAGTAAGGACTGCAGGTTTTGGTCCAGGGTTTTACATGTTTCCCCACTGGTTATAAGTGAGAACTGTGTGGTATGGGATCCTCGCGCTTCTTCTGGTTTTTATTTAGTTTAACTGAATGAAAAAATAAAAGTAAAATATTTCTACTTTTTTCCTCCTCTGGGCATATTAATCCAAGGATCCCAATGATGCATTTATTGTCTATCAACCTTGCTCCATTTACAAGCAATGCACAATTACAGCTATGAGCTGTTAAGCTACACACACGGGTGACCAGACGTCCTGATTTTATAGGGACAATCCCGATTTTTGGGTCTTTTTCTTATATAGGCTCCTATTACCCCCCACCCCCATCCCAATTTTTCACACTTGCTGTTTGGTCACCCTACGACACATGCAAACATTTACACTTACACTTCGTAGGTGTCTCTCCCTCTTCTAAAGCAATGGTTCATATCCAGAACGAACATTTCTGCTATTTGTGTTTATTTCATCACTTTTTTCAAAACATTAATCCCAATTCCTACTAGCTATAAAAATATTAACATCACAGAAATGGCCTGCAATCTCTTTAACAAATATAACAGGGATTTTTTAGACAAAGCTTTAGGGTGTGCGCTGGGGAAGAATTTTGAATGTTTTAATCTATTTTTAACATGGAATAATTGGATACTTATTCTAATCTCTTTAAAGGGCAGTTTTACTCAGTAAATATTGGGAAACAATTAGGGTTTCTGCAATATTAAAATCCTAGAAGATCTGGATGCCAAACTAAGGTGAAAATAGCAACATGAGTAAGATGGCTATTTTAGTGTATTGCAAACCTTGGATAGGGTTCCTCAGCTGGTGTAAATCATCATACCTTCCCTGAATACAATGGCGTTACACCAGTTGAAGTTCTAGTCCCTTGTGTATTCTCTAAGTTTCTTTCAAGTTATTGGGGGGGGGGGGGGGGGGGACAATCAGCTGCCCTACATAAAATCTTGAATTTCAAAAAGTTCTTGTATAAGGATAACTCATGATGGCTAATGGTTGGGCTGTGCCTTCAAAGCCCAGTCCATTGTAAGGGTGTGGAGCTAAGCTGCCCCAGGGGAAGGTCAGGAAGCATTCTGCCTCAGAGAGGAGGAGCTTCGTTTCCAGAGAGGAGGCACAGTAATTTGACACCTCTTTTGGCCTTCAATGCTTAGCTGGCCTGTTTGCTCAGTGCTGTATTTGGAGAGGGGGAGAATGGCTCCACCTATTCTGTGCCTCTCTTGGCTTCTTTTTGATGAGTTGTCTGCTGTTCCCAATGAGTAATTCACTAGTAATTCCTGGTGCAGGGGCTGCTCTTCTGAACAATACTAATGGAGGCTGTGCCAAGGAAGAGGGGGAGTTTCCTCATTCCCTCACCCTGCACTTCACAGCTATAATAGAAGAGGTGAGGTCAATGTTCTTGCCCTATGAATAACAAATACAAAAGTGCATTTTGGGCTGGCATTATAAACCTCTTGTAGGGGTATATCAGCCCTCACAAACAAATTTTCACCAGTGTCTTGTCAGCAATGCACCTTCCAGCAGTCAGACTCTTATGAATTCACTCACTTTTTTAACACCATTAGGGTCACCAGATGTCCCGATTTTATAGGGACAGTCCCGATTTTTGGGTCTTTTTCTTATATAGGCTCCTATTACCCCCCACCCCCTGTTCCGATTTTTCACATTTGCTGTCTGGGCACCCTAAACACCATCCACGTATTTAATCTTTAACCTACTCACCCACCAAATCACTTTCATCATCAAAGTTTTAAAGTGTTTTGGAAGATGAGTAGGACTTTTTAGCTGGCCTCACAACATCCTTCCTCCAAACACAACTGTGAGCACCAGGAGAAGGAGATGGGGTTAGCTGCTTCCCCATTCAGACAACCTAAGAGAGACTTGAATTCAACTTCCTTCCAGGGTAAACAGCCTAAATCCCTTTACTTTCTGCCAGCTGGTCTTGTTCCTGCCTTTCCCAGCTTAATCTCCGCATGGCTTCTGTAGGCAGAATATCTTGCAGACAATTCAGCTCCACATTTGCCTCTAGTGCAGGGGTAGGCAACCTATGGCACGCGTGCCAAAGGCGGCATGCAAGCTGATTTTCAGTGGTACTCACACTGCCCGGGTCCTGGCCACCGGTTTGGGGGGCTCTGCATTTTAATTTAATTTTAAATGAAGCGTCTTAAATGTTTTAAAAACCTTATTTACTTTACATACAACAATAGTTTAGTTATATATTACAGACTTATAGAAAAGAGACCTTCTAAAAATGTTAAAATGTATTACTGGCACGCGAAACCTTAAATTAGAGTGAATAAATGAAGACTCGGCACACCACGTCTGAAAGGTTGCTGGCCCATGCTCTAGTGCTTCAGAGAGGAGCATGATCCGAATTTGGCTCTCAAAAAGCCTTCAGTCTCTGTTCCACTCATGAGCAAGCTTCTTGCCCTTACACTTTAGTTATTAGGTGAAGAAGTTATAATTGTGTGAATAATGTATAGAAATAAACACTGCCTTTTTAGAAAAGAGGACTATAAATGTGGTACATTAATAAGGAAACAATTGTCCTGTATTTTCATCTTTAAGGTTTATAGATATATTAAAAATATTTATTTGAGGCTTATCAGTCTCGAGTCAAGACTTCTGCTTTGTACTGTTTTTATGCTCTACTGTATGGAAACACACGTGTGTATGCTGAAATGATGTGAGTTTCACAACTGACTAATTGACCACAGGGAAAATTACAGCAGGAATTTGTCCAGCAAGAGCCTATGACCAGCTTCATGTTCTCCTTTGATGTGTATTGCTTAACTGGTGTCTGTTTGCAGTGATGGATAACTGAGTCATTCAAAATGCATGGCAAGCAAAATCTGTTCTAAAATAGATGGCCGTAAACCTCTCAAGTGGTTTGGAAAGCAAGGCCAACATGCAAAATAAGAGAAGCCACCAACCATGTCATGGATGGGCTCTGGAAAAAGGGATAATAAAGACTCTGGAAACTATCCATTGTTGTAATTTATGTTGTAAAGAGGACATCTGCAACTCAAACACAAATTTAAAAATATAATTTTCATTGGATTTGAGAAGCACTCCCTTGGGTGCGAGTTCAAATAGACAGCTGTAGTAGTGGGGTTTTTTTTTTCTTTCATGCTAAGGGAATTTGTTTTTTAAAAATAGCTGATACTTTTGTTAGGGTTACCATATTTTGAGCCTCCAAAAGGAGGACACTCCACGGGGCCCCGGCCCCGCCCCCAGCCCCGCCCACGCCCACGCCCCAACTCCGCCCCCTCCCCTGCTTCCCGCGAACATTTGATTCGCGGGAAGCCTGAAGCAGGTAAGGGGGATGTGGGGGGAGGAGGCGCAGCCCAGTCTGGCCCCCCCGGCGTCTCCAGCCTGGGTCGGCTCGGGCTCTGGGGTGCCGGCCCCGGGCCAGCCCCCGGCCAAGCAACCCCGGCCCGCCCAGCACTGCCAGTCCCTGGCCCAGCCCCCGGGTCCCCGGCCGAGCACCCCTGGCCCGCCCAGCACTGCTGGTTCCCGGCCCGGCCCCTGGCCCCCGGCACCGGCCCCTGGCTAGGCACCGCACCGCCGGCCCGGCCCCCGGCCCGGCTCCGCACCGCCGGCCCAGTCCCCGGCTCCGCACCGCCGGCCCCCGGCCCGGCCCCCGGCCCAGCAACGCCGGCCCCGCATATCCCGATTTTCCCGGACATGTCCGGCTTTTTGGGATTTCCTCCCGGACGGGGATTTGGAGCCCAAAAAGCCAGACATGTCCGGGAAAATCCGGCCGTATGGTAACCCTACTTTTGTTCACACAGAAATGTTGCTATATCAGATACATAGTACTACACTCTTCCCTACATAACCTATTGCTGGGAAAATCTTGGAGGGGAAGTAGCTATGAGCTCCATTACAAGTGGGAAAGATTGCACTACTGGAGGTTTTGCATTTGTTCTATGCACAGAGGACTTTGGTTTCTAGTACCATCAATCTGACCCTTTCTCAAATACTAAATATTAATTTAAAAATACATTTAGTCTTCATATCCATAATCTAGACACTTTCTGATTAGGGAAAGACCTGTGTATCACTTTCTGAAAGTCTGAGAGCAGTCCAGTGTTGTTCTTTGAAGGAGGCAGCAAAAGCCTATTCAATTTTGAAACCAGCTAATACTGAGATTTCTACATTCACTTTAGTTTCTTAGGCCTA